GCAACTCTTCGTGATATGATTGAACTACTGAATTTTATGAGATGTGGCGGAAGTGCCAATAAAACTATTTTAAAAAAAGAAAGTGATCTTCTTGTAAGACAGGTACAAGGACGAATGATTTTGAACATGCTTTTCTCAGAGGCTTTGGGCAGCTGACAGAATGACCCACCCCGAGTGGAGTCAATTCTGACTCTCAGTGACCGTACTGGGCACAGAAGAGCCGCTCTTCCTGTTTCCAAGGTTGTATGATTGCCTCATCTTTCTCCCAGAGAGCACTGGGTGGGTTTGAGGCCCCGACCCCGCGGTTGGCAGCCCAAACTCTTTCATACCCTGAACCACCGATGGAAGGAAAGGAAATACACAGTCCTTGAAAAACAGAACAAAAATCATCACACCCACCGATTATTACACCTTTAGTTTTGCGTTGCTTTCCCTTCAAAACATTCACTGCCACTGGGCTGATTCTGACTCATAGCAACCCTATAGGGCAGGGTAGAAGGGGCCTTGGGTATTTCGGAGACTTTAACTCGTTTTTAGGAGTTGACAGTCTCATCTGTCTCTAGTGGAGGGGCTGGTAGGTTCAAACCAGTGACCTTGAGGTTAGAGGCTCAGTGGGTAACCCACTGTGGCACTAGGGCTGCCTTACATGAGGACAAATGTCTGATGTGTGACTTCAAAGCATTCCAAAGATACACAGCTAAGTCACTAAAAAGTGCACATTCTAATAAATTACAGTGTCTTAAGCCCACTTGTTGTAGCATCATCTGAAATAAGGTGAAAGCCCAACTTCTGTTAATCATAGCAATTTTTCAGCATATTCCTTTGATTGCCTTCTTTTCCAAAAGAATAATCAGAGTTGACCCAATTGATCAGATGTTTTAGGGAAAGGACCGCAAACAGAAGTCAGGATTGTTCAATTGAAGCGATGTTTCAATTCTCCAGGCCTGATGGCTTCACTTTTCTCTATTTGTTTTGGGTTTTCCCTCCACTCCTTAAAAGGTAATCAGCACCCCCAGTCTTCACATTCAACAGGACAGGATGCTGAACTGAAATTCTTCAACTATGAAGAACCCCAATTCCCTGAGATGGGAGCTAGCTCACTACAAGAGATGATGATGAATTTAACAGTCAATAGTGGGGCCGTGGGGTCCAGGACAGTCATTCAGACGAACCACAGAACAATTACAGCCCGGGACAGGCTCATTCTAGAAAATGTTGCGATTGGGGGTGGCCTCACCCAGGTGGGGGGTGGTACACACTCACTTTGCACAATCCTATTCTTTCCTTATCGATTTCCGTTGAAACGCCAGAAATCAGATCATTTACTAGAGCTTAAAGTCACTTTCTGGGAATGTGTCCCCGGTAGCGCTCTGCTAAATACATAAATCTGCTAAATGAGCAGAAATAAATCCCACGGGTCTCATTCTACAGTTAGGGCCGGATATAAAGAGACAGAGAACTATTGTATTCGCACGCACACACACAGCCCTCTGAAAGTTCCAACTCCTTGAACTGCTGCTCAATTGCATCTTGAGTTTTAAGAGAGGTTTTGCTCTTTTTTAGGCTTGCTCCCTGCCCTCTAAAAGCTTAACTTGTAAACTGATATTTAATTGAAACAGCACGCACTTCCCCCAAGGCTGCTCTCTGTGTTGTGCCTTTTTCTCCTTTCTTTCTTCAAATGCTTCGGGGTGGGAGCAACTCCCATTTGGATATGAGAATTGGATACACGAAGATGTGACTACTAGGAGAATTGAAAGTCAGGAGTAAGAATTCCTTCAACCCCAGCAGGGGACACAGTGGCTGCAATACATAGGCTCAATTCAAGCATAGGATCCATGGGGAGGACTGGGGAGGACGGGCAGTGGGTAGTTCTGCTGTGCACAGGGTTACTATGGGTCAGAACTGACTCGATGGCACCTAACAACAGCAAGAACGAAAGCAGGACCAGGGTCTTGGATACTGGTGCCGGGACCTCTAGTTCTGGAACTAATTAACTCACTCTCTCTAGGGACCCCCAGTTAGCTTTTATACTGTCACCTGGCACTTTCAGATCCTGTAATAGACAGCCTTGGATTCCCTTTTCACCTGAGCCTCCAAACCCAAAAGAAAAGCAATGCTTTGTTCTCTGAAATGCAAACATTAGATCAGTGGTTCCCAACCTTCCTAATGCCACAGCCCTTTAATACAGTTTCTCATGTGGTGGTGACCCTTAGCCATAAAATTATTTTCGTTGCTACTTCATAATTGTCATTTTGCTACTGTTATGAATCAGGCGAACCCCGTGAAAGGGTCATTCGACCCCCAAAGGGTCCATGACCCACAGGTTGAGAACTGCTGTATTAGCTCTTAGGGGAGACGTGTGGCTTGATGGCATGATAATTTAGATGTGATTCATGGGAGTGGAAATTTGGGGTTTGGAGAGAGCTGGGTGAGACTGTGTGTGTGTGTGTGTGTGTGTGTGTGTGTGTGTGTGTGTGTCAGGGGGTGTTGGATTT